CCTGGACCTGCAGGGATGGTGTCCCTGGGGCTGCAGGGATGGTGTCCCTGGGGCTGCAGGGATGGTGGCCCCGGGGCTGCAGGGAGGTGGCCCTGGCTCCAGGGAATGTCCCCCAGACTCAGACTTTCTGCCTCTGCTGCTTTCCCATGCCTGCTTTGCTGGTGAAGCCCCAGTTCCTGAGCTGCTGGTCCTCCAGGCTGGGACCACACAGCAGCCCCTGGAGTGGGAGTGTGGTGGGACAGCTCCTGGGTCCCACCTGGAGCTGGTATTCCCAAAAACAGGGCCCAGCGTGCTGCAGAGCTGCTGCACTTTAAAGGTTTTTGAAGGTTTTTAAGTTGGGAGTTGACTTGAGAAGGTGAGAGGTTATAGGGAGTGTGCTCTTTGGATGTGGGGTGTGTTTCTCCTGGCATCCTTGTAAATGGCAATATCTGTCACAGGAGGTTTCCTTGTTGCCTCTCTTGGCTTAGAACTCCTTTGAGAGCTGTCACCATCATCTCGATGGCCCCTGGGCTGTCCATAAAAGCCTGGCAGGAGTTTGCAGCTCATTAGCTGAGTGCTGGCTTGCACGGAGGGGGCCGGGTGGTGAATCCTGCCCAGCCCCGGGCCATGGGCTGTGTGTGCCACGGTCCTGCCCTGCTCCCGGGCAGCCTTTGTCCCGTGGAGCATTAGCCCAGGTGGCTGCAGTCATTCCTTACAGTCGGGATTTCTCACAGCTGAGCAGCAGTGTGGGTTCTGCAGGGCACAGCGGGTCTGGATGTCCCAAATGCCCGTGCCCAGCCTGTCCTGGCAGCCTGTGTGTCCCTGTGTCACTGCAGCCACCACTGCTCTCCAGCTGGTTCCTGGCAGTGTCCCAGGCTGCCAAAGCCTCCACCTGGAGTCTGGCGAGGCCAGCGAGCTGCCAGTGCTTCACTCCTGTCCGAGTGCTGTGTGCAGGATTTCCATGGGCAGGTGTGGGCCCTCCTGGCAGCTCGGGCTGCCCGTGGCTTTCCTGCTGCTCACACAGGAGGGTGGCACAGGGAATGTCCCCGTTCTGGCTGCCACACCAGTGTCCTGTGCTGGTCCCTCTGGCTGCCACACCAATGTCCTGTGCCCATCCTCTGGCTGCCACACCAATGTCCTGTGCCCGTCCTCTGGCTGCCACACCAGTGTCCTGTGCTGGGGCCACTGTCCAGGTGGTCCCCCCGCTGTTTTCCAGGAAAGCTGCAGGCCCAGCAGGGCTGAGGTGCAGAGCAGAGATGAGGTTTTGTTACCAGCTTGTTTCATCCTGTCCCTGTACAACAGGAAATGTAGCAACGGTTTATGGTTAAAAGCTTCTGTTTTTCTTCCTTTAGGCAGAGTTGCAGATTGTGCCCCAGAAACTTTGCACAACCAGAGGCTGGGGTTGGTTTGTGAGGAGCTGATCTGGTCATGCACTCAGGAAGAGCAGTGCTTCTCTGCCCAGCCTGTGGCTGCTCTTCCCAGGGCTCCTGCACCACAAGACTGGTGATGGGCTGGTTTGGGTCTGGAAGCAGAAAAGCAGAATATTTAGGTGTGCAGGACTGGGATGGAGGGGTGGTCCCTGCCTGGGGGCTCGTGGTGTTGCCTGGCCTGAGCATCACTTGAGTGGCAAGAGGAGGTGAAGGGTTGAGCCCTTGGATCCCCAGTGCCCTTCAGGGCTCCCCCATCCCTAAACAGCTCCTGGAGCTGGGGTGGCCCCACTCTGGATCCTCCGGGACAGCTGGCTGGAGTTTGCCTTCATTTTTCTCCCATGACTTCACCGTGTGTCCCCAGGTGTCCTCAGGACACTGTCCTGTCACTGTGCCCGTGGTGGGATGGATGCATGAAGGAAATGATCAGAACTTTCTTTCCCTGGCGTGGGAGGGTGTGGGAGGAGGGCGAGCTGCAGGTGCCCCTGAGCTGCCCAGGGTGGGGAAGGCAGGATGGCACAGCTGGGCAGTGCTGGAGTGTGCGGTGACATTGGTGACATCGTGTGACACCGGTGACGTGCTGCTGAGCCAGGCCCCTCCTCTGGGAGTGCTTTGGGTTTCTTGGAAGCCAAAACTCTCCTCATGTGCTGTGTGCCTGCTGTGAGGCCCTGGGGCTCCTCCTGCCCTGTGCCGTGTCCCTCCATGGAAACCGAGCTGCTCTTAACTGCTGGCACTGTCCCTTGGCTGGGAACGTCACCAGGGGAGGGACCTGCCCTCCTGGGGAGAGAAAATCTGCAGTGACAGGGACATGGATGGATGATGGATGGATGATGCTCTCTGTGCTGGGCTGTGTTTGTGCCATGGATGATGCTGTGGTGCCCTCCTCTCTGCAGCTCCAGCTCTCTGTGTGCAGGAGGGGACAATCCCGGAGGTCCCCTGCCCTCCCTCCCTGCATGGTTGGGGTGGGGCCAGCGCTGTGAGGGGCAGCACAGCTGTGCCTGGCTCAGTGCTGTGACATGGGTGACATGAGGAAGTGCAGGCTTTCTGAGAGTTCATCTTCTGTTAACTTATAGGGAAGGGATGTGGTTTTTTTGTTGCTTTTTTTTTTTTTAACTTTTCCGTCATGCTACTTTCAAAATCTCAACCCTCAGCATGGTTTCTGAAGATGATTTTTAAATCATCTTGGCCACATCAGAGGTGCCAACCCAGCACCTTTGTGTGGCCAAGACTTGGTGCAGCGTGAGCCAACAGACAGACTGGGGAGTTCTAATAAAAGGATATTTCACAGAATTCAGAGAATTCACAGAATGACTGGGTGGAAGAGACCTTAGAGATCATCAAGTCCCACCCAGCCCCAACACCTCAACTGAACCCTGGCCCCCAGTGCCACATCCAGGCTTTGTTAAACACACCAGGGATGGTGACTGCACCACCTCCCCGGGCAGCCATCCCAGATCTTTATCACCCTTCCTGTAAAAAACTTTATGTGCAGTTCTCAAATAACCCAGGAAAGCTCTGCTTTCATTGTCATACAATGCTTTGGGTTGGAAAGGACCTTCAGTGCTTTGGGGAAGGGACCTCATCCAGTCCCACCCTGCCCCAGGGACACCCTCCACTGTCCCAGGGTGCTCCAGCCTGGCCTTGGGCACTGCCAGGGATGGGGCAGCCACAGCTTCTCTGGGCACCCTGTGCCAGGGCCTGCCACCCTGCCAGGGAAGGATTTCTGCCCATATCTCATGTAAATCTCCTCTCTTTTGGTTCAAAGCCACCACCCCTTGTCCTGTCACTCCATGCCCCTGTTTAAAGCCCCTCTCCTGGAGTGACCAAGGAGGCTGGGCTGCACCCCAGTGTCACTGCTGTCCCCTGGGTGCCACCCCAGTGTCACAGCTGTCTCCTGGGCTGCACGCCAGTGTCACTGCTGTCCCCTGGGTGCCACCCCAGTGTCACTGCTGTCCCCTGGGTGCCACCCCAGTGTCACAGCTGTCCCCTGGGTGCCACCCCAGTGTCACAGCTGACCTCTGAGTGCCACCCCACTGTCACTGCTGTCCCCTGGGCTGCACCCCAGTGTCACAGCTGACCCCTGGGTGCCACCCCAGTGTCACTGCTGTCCCCTGGGTGCCTGCTCCACAGAGGGGACCCAGAGGTCCTGAGCTGTGTGCTGCTGTGGGGTGGAAATGCAGAAATCCTGAGCTGTCACTGGGGAATGGCCTCGGTGAATCCAGGGCTGCTGCCTTGCCAGATTGCAGCCAGGGTTTCAGATTGTTCTCTGCTTGATTCTCCTCCTGAAAGAAATACCATGGGTAGCCTTGGGCAATATTGGCTTGTTCACAGCTTGCTTTGTCCTTGTCCTCTGTGCTCTGGGGCTGCCTGGGAAGAGGCTCTGCTCCCCAAGCTGCCTTTTTCCCCTTTTTTTTTCCCTTCTCAGAGGTTACAGTTTTCATTCTGAGCCTTCCCAGCCTTGATGGCACATCCCTTCACGCTTCCTGCTCCCTGCTAATGCCAACTTCTGAGCAAGCCCACATAAAATCTGGGCAAAATGCATTTCCAGGCTGTCACCAGGGAAGGTGGTGAGTTCTGGGGAGGCAGCAGAGCTCTGAGCAGGGAGATCCAGCGGGCTGAGCATTGCCCAAGACACACAGAGGCTTGTTTGCTGCAGATTGAGCAGATAAAGCAGGCAGTGCTGTGGAGCAGACCTGCCCTCCTGGCTGGAGGGGAGCCAGGGGAGCTTTGGACTGGATAGGAATGAAAATTTCTTCATGAAAGGGGGAAATGGTGGAATCACCATCCCTGGAAGTGTTCAAAAGGCCGTGGATGGGACACTTGGGGACATGGCTTCATGGTGCTGTGTTGACAGCTGGACTCCATCTCGGAGATCTTTTCTGACCTCAAGGATTCTGTGATTATTCATTAATGACATTTCAGGCAGAGCCCACCTACAGGTCAGACCCGTTGGTTTTGGAGGAAATTCCCCCAAAGCTGGGCAAGCAGCAGCCTCTGTCCCTCTGGGGGAGCCCAGGCAGACACTGAGCAGCTCCTGCCATGGCTGGGATGCCTGGCCTGGCCCTGCAGTGCCTGATTTATTATCAGTCACACAAGCAGCCTGCTGCTCGTGTGCTTTTGTTGCTCTGAGCTGTAATTTCCCAAGCTTTGGGCAAGAGCAGTGAGAGATTTAACTCCAGGTTCTGCCTGGGTGAACCCACTGCTTGAGTTTTGCGGAGTCAGAGCCGTGAATACTGGAAATAGGATTGGATTTTTTTTTCTTGCACTGCAAAAAGGAAATAAATGCTTGCAGCTGGAGGGGGCTTTGCTTTGAAAGTGGGTTTTAGAGGTTGGATTTTTTTTCCCTGGTTTGTACTGGGATGCTTTACTGCCCCGTGCCACCAACTGGTGCATTTTGTGTTGCCCTCCACTGCCTGTCACTGGTGTCAGAGGTGGTTTGGGGTTGGGATGTGGCATCCTGCACATTTGGGACCGTCCCCACCTGCATCATCACTGCTCAGAACTGAGCAGGATCCGCTCCTGCTTTCAGGGGCTGAACAGATGGAGCATTACCCAACACACAAAGCATCTAAAGCCCCACTCTTCTGATTGCAGAATGCGACACAAACGGTAGAAGAAGAAAAACCTGAGCCTCCAACCATCCAGGAGATCAAACAGAAGATTGAAAAGTACAATGCAAAGGTCACCAACTGCCTCGTGATGAAGCTGGTACGTCCTGGGCTGGTTTCCCCTCACACACACAGCCTGCTGCTGGTTCCTGTGGGCCCTGCACGGGGCCAGCCTGTGGGGAAGGTGTCACTGGGGTGAGGGGGGCTGCCAAGCTGCTTTTCCTCCTGCTGGGCTTTGCAGTGTCACTGGCACTCCAGGTAACCCTTCCCTGCCTCCATCCCTTCCTGCTGGCACTGATCTCTGGCAAGGAGCTGCCACAAAGCCCTGGATGAGCCCCAGTGGGGGTGAGTCAGGGTGGAACCAGGGCTGTGAGCTGTTGGAAGTGGCTTCAGGAGCACAAAACCTTTCTAGAGAGAGAAGCTCTGCCCTCACCACTGCCAGGCTTCCAGGTGCACTGTGCAGAACCAGGCTTTTCTCCTGATTCCTGCATTTTTGTGGAGCTGAGGGTGGGGTAAGAGACCTGTGGTGGGATCAGCTGATGTTCAGGGATGATTTGGTACATGGAGATGTGAGAATCCATTAAATGGGGAATAAAACATAAGGAATAAGTTTGGGAGATCCTGCTGAACCAGGGGTTTCAAATCCATATTAAGTGCAACTACAAATTCCATGCAATGGAATTTCCATAACTGCCTGGTAGCAGGGCTGGTTTGAAATAAAACAAGATCCCACAGGCGAGAGGAAGGGATGAGTCATTACCAAGAGAAAACCAGCAGTGACTGCCCCGACATTACTGGGTATTTTTGACATGATTAACGAGGAACGCTGGAACTCCCGGAGCAGGGCCAGCTCCTGCTGTCACCCCCCAGCCTCCTGTGGTGGGAAACGGGCTGGAAGAGCTGCCTGGAGCCTGATCCCTGTGTGCTTTGCCCCAGAACGACGACGGGACCTACACGGGGTTCATCAAGGTGCACCTGAAGCTGCGGCGCCCGGTGACGGTGCCGGCCGGGATCCGGCCCCAGTCCATCTACGATGCCCTCCACGAGGTGAACCTGGCTGAGATGACGCACAGGAGGACCTCCTTCTACCTGCCCCTGGATGCCGTCAAGCAGCTGCACATCAGCAGCACCACCACGGTGGGCCAGGTGATCCAGGCGCTGCTGAAGAAGTTCATGGTGGTGGATAACCCCCAGAAGTTTGCACTTTTCAAGGAGATGAGGAAAGATGGGCAAGGTGAGTTCAGGGCCTGGCAGCTGGTGGGGAGTTTGGCTTCTGGTTGGTGTGCTGTAGGACTCACTGGGGTGTCAGGCAGGCAGAGCCTAAATCCAGGTGAATCAAAGGCCAGACCTGCACAGGAGGTGATGCTGCTTAGGTTAACAGGGAGTTATGATTTCTGAAGGGGTGAAACCACCTGGGACCTCACAGGGATCGTGGTAAATCTGTGATAAAGACTCAGCCCTGTGACGCTGAGCATCCTTGCCATGCTCCAGCAGATCCCCTGAGCTTCCCTCTGCCCTGGCAGCCCTGATCTCACGGGCGGTGTCTGCTGTCCTTGCAGTGCTGTTCCAGAAGCTCCCTCTCACCGAGTACCCGCTGTACCTGCGGCTGCTGGCGGGCCCTGACACCGACGTGCTGAGCTTTGTCCTGAAGGAAAACGAAACCGGAGAAGTTGAGGTACATTGGTGACCTTTCCTTGGTTTTCACACGAATATGGAGCACATGGCAGAGCTGGGGGATGTGGGACAGAGGCACCACAAAAAGGGCTGCTTCCCTCTAAGAGGTCTTTTATTGCTCCTAAATGATCTGTTTTTAAAACAATTCAGACTTGAGCTGTGGAAATGCTGAGGCCAGTTTTGATGGCCACTCCATAATCTGTTTGTGGAACCCGGCAGTGCCGCCCCAGGGTTAATCCTCACTAATTAGATTAGCTGAGCACTGTTATAAGTAGTCCACTAATTTAAGTAAAAGCCAGGGACACTCAGGTAATAAATTCACAGTCAGTTTTTGGTTGAAATCTTGCTCCCCACCACAGTGAAGCGAATGCTGGGAGCTGCTGCATCCTGCAGGATTCTGCTTCCCATGTGGGATGGGAGAATTGGGATGGTCCTTCCTGCTGCAGCCCCTCATCCCATCCCTCTCGCCACTCGAGGTTAAATCCCTGGAGATCAGATACATTTCAATGTATTTTATTGCTCCTCCTCACAGATTCAGGTAAGAACCCACAAAGCCCAGTGCTCACTTTGCCTCTTGCTGGTTTTGCAGTGGGAAGCCTTCTCCATCCCAGAGCTGCAGAACTTCCTGATGATCCTGGAGAAAGAGGAGAAGGACAAAATCCAGCAAGTGCACAAGAAGTACGAGAGGTTCAAACAGAGACTGCAACAGACCCTGAAAGAGGCCAGAGGCAAACCTGGATAACCTTCAGGAGGCACTGGGCATTAGACTAACCTAGAGACTGTTTTTAATGAAAAGACTTCTCAGGACACCTTAGTAGTCATTCTCCCTCTTCAACCTTCCATAAGGACTGGCTCCCAGCACCCCTAAAATGATCCTATTGCATTTTCTTCTTCTGAAACCTCTTCTCCCAGGACCAGAGCCAGTCCAAGAACGGGAAGCCTGTTTTTAAAACAGCTTCAACAAAGCAAACACAGCTGCTGGTTGGCTTTCCAGCCGTGCCACCCGCTGGAGAGGCTGCGTGGAAAATTCTCACTGTGACACCCAACAGGACCCCTGTGCTGGCTGAAGTTTGGAGCAGGGCAGCTCTTGCTGTTCCTGCTCCTCCCAGCAAGCTGCTTGTTCCTGTTTGGAGGGGCTGTGGCCCACAGTGGCCTCGTGGCCCAGTTCTGGTTTCGTAAGGAGAGCACAGGAAGCAGCAGGAGAAGGGGAGGAGGTTGTTGCACCAAACCATGTGGGTGTTGCAGCTCTAAGCAAGCCCTGGACTTGTTCAGGGCTGAGGCAGCCAGGGAAATGCCAGGTTAGCACACCAAGGCAGCTGCAACACCCCAACAGTCTGTTAGTAAATATTATTGCAACTTGGTAGTAGTAATTCCCAGGAAAATCATTCATTTTGATTCTATTTGACTTCTGATTTTGGAAAGAGCTGAATTACAGTAACTGTCCCTGATGCTTAGCCAAGTTAGCCAGGGTTTCACCAGTTATCCACTCTGTAGGAACTGGGACCTTTCTTTCCAGAAATTCTGTTTGAAAAGTGTAAAGGTGATGGTTGGGGCACAGGCTGAGGGTTCAGTGTTGAAGGTTTAGCAATACGTGTCCATCAGAGGAACCCAGGAAAGCTCAAAACCCCTTCACAAATCAGATTTTGAGCTGTGAACATGCCTGGCCCCGAGGGAGAGGAGCCCCATCCAGGGCTGGGGTGTGGAGGTGGCACCAAGGAAGAGAATTACTGTCCTTGGATGCTTTCTGCTCACCTCAGCTGGGCTTCCTCCTGCTCCTGCTGTCCCAGCCCTGCTGTCCCTGTGCCCTGTTCTCCCTCCCCACTCTCAACTGGTGCCGTCCTGCTGAAGCAGGAAGCTTCCCAGGGTTTGCTCTCTCCGTGGAGCCAGGAGAGGACAGCAAGTCTCTCTCTGCCTGTCTCAGGGCTGCCACCACGCCACGCTGAGCATCCCTCAGCAAAGTCCTCGAGCTGCAGGCTGGGTCCCTGCCCTTGCTCTGGTGCTGAGGCCGTGCAGGGATCTCTGCCAGGCTGGGAATGCTCCAGGGATCCCCGGGGAGAGGATGGGCCCCATGTTTACCCTCAGTGCTCCATGCTGAGCACACTGCACACAGCAGGGCCAGCCCTCCCTCTGGTCACAGCCCAGGAACAGGGAATGCCAGCCCTGGGTTGGGGTGGAGCAGGGACAGGGGTTGGTGTGGGCTCCGCGGAGCTCACTGTGGCTGCTGGGATCCCACCTACACCCCGTGGGAGGGGAGCCAGCAGGTTATGGGGGAACAGGGAGGAGTTCAAATTTACCTCAGTGCCTTTTTTTTCCCTTAAGTGTGAAAACTTTGCATTTGGGCTAAGGAGGAAGCTGTGCAGAGGCCTTGTCTCTCCTGTCCCCACAGGGAGGGATGAGGAACTGCTTTGTTTCTTTCTGGAAGGTGATTGCTTGGGATTTTTTTTTTTTTCCAGATTTTGAGTATGTTTGTTTCTAAACCTTATGAGAGTAACTGCATCACTTGGAGCCCTCGGCTGGTGTGAAAGCCACTTTGTGCCAAGCTCAGTTGCAGCTCCTGTTCTGGTCAGCAGTGAGGGTTTGCTCGCAGGGCTCTGGTGCAGAGGAGCCTCCAGCTGTACTGTACTCTACACCCAACGACCTTTAACAAGTGCTGGCAGCCACGGAGCAGCACTTGCCATGCTCTGGGGCTGTTTGTCCAGCTACAAGCAGACTTAGCACTTCACTCTTCACTTGTGGAGTCATTTAAATACCGTTTATCTGGTGCTCTGAGCCTTGACAGCACCTTATAAATACTTCAGTTCCACCGTGGGAAGAGCGCTGTAAAAAACTGCCGGTGGCTCAGAGGCAAGAGCCACACGCTTGGTTTGAAATCCCTTTTCTTTCTGGCTGAAAGTTGTGCAGGTTTCATTTTTTTGTTGTTTTTGTTTTTGTTTTGGTGAGTGTCCCCGCTCCCTTCCTGGCCCCAGCATGTCTTTGACAGTTTGTACAAGGCATGGCTTCGTATGCAATCACTGTGGATGCTGCTGAAACCTCCTGCCACCAGCAGGGCTCGTTCTTTTGGGTTTGTTTTTTTTTTTTTCAATATGAGGGGCATTTGAAGAGTTGGTGGGTGTTGAAACTCAAATTCTCATGGGTCAGTTGAGCTGTTTTTAGGAGTATTTGCCCCTTCTTTAAGCGCAAATCCTGTTGGCAGTGCCTTTGGTTAGCAATTGTCTCGCCTAGGTCGTGTGAGTTTCTTTTCCATGGCTACTGTAAAACCTGTAAAATAATGTGTATAGGATGGAATAGTAGAGCTTCTATGGCAAAGTGAAATGCATTTTTGCAATGCTGTAATTTATTTTTACTACTCCCTAGTGATTCTATGGCATTTTTACAAAATGTCTCACTCTCAGCTTTTTTTGAAGGTTCTGGAACTATTTGTTCATGTACAGACAGTGTAAGAGACAATGACAATAAAATGGTCAGTAATTAAAGAAATCTCTTGACCTTCTTTTTCTGGTGCCCTCCTATGGAACTTTAATGAATTTAGTCTAAAGGGAAATACAGGAATCCTTCCTAGAAGTGAATTTAAATTTCCTAACCTACTGTTAAAGAGCTAAAGAACATCCACACCTGTAAGACCTGCCCAAAGTGTTCCATTAATTAATCTTTTAGCTGGGGCTGTCAGAACTGTTACCTGTGATAAATTACAGCTCATGTCATACATTAAAATGTATTTTTATATATAAAAATAATATCTTTATTGTATTTAATGTATTTTTATATATAAAAATGGTATGAACTACAGAAGTGCAGCTAATGCAGTTAATTCTCAGTGTTGGAAGTGTCTGAATTCAGTATCTGGCAATGTTTAAAAGGATAAAATCTAAGCCACAGCGGGTTTTACTCAATGGCAGAACACACTGCACTGCCCCAGGATTGTGTTGGAATGTGTTTTTCTCATATTTCAGAGGAGATTTATTCCACATCCTTGATCAAAGATGCAAAGCAAGAATGCTGAACTACCCAAAAGCCACTGTAGCATCCAGTGCTTCAGTATCAATTTCCATTAAACAATCACAAGAGGATAACGCCAAGAGGTTCATTGAGCTTTTTATTTTTATGAAAAATGAACACCTGGAGCACTATTATTATTTGGGTGAATTCCAGACCTTGTAAACGCCCAGGACTCATTGTGGAATGAGCAGGGCCTGTGCATGATCCTTCTATAAATAATGAGAGCTGAGCAATCCTTGCAGTGGATTTTTCTCCTACTTCTTACGGCCAAGCTTTGGAGCCTTCTCCAGGCCTTGGATGTATTTCCGAGGTAGCTGATATTCTTCTGCAACACAACCAAGAGCTCACTTCAGGTAAGGAAGAGTTAAAGAAGAATTAAAATCTCAGTTTTGCTGCAACCAGCCCAGTTCCAGAATCTTCTTACCGAGCAGCATCTTGGCAAGATGATGGATTTGGTTGCCTTGGATCTGGACCTGGACTCTGTCCTTTGCTCCTGGTGCTGGGCTGATGGTGGCACTGGCTTGGACCTTCTGTTGGAGAGTATTGGCCACACACTGTGGGTCCAGACCATACAGCTCAAGGTTCTTGATAATTGTCACCTGTGGGGATTGATAATGATTGCAAACATCACTGCTGAAGGCTTAATAATGATTGCAAACATCACTGCTGAAGGTTTAAATAATGCTTGGAAACATCACTTCTAAGGGGTTAATAATGATTGGAAACATCACTGCTGAAGGGTTAAATAATGATTGGAAACTCGTAAGGACTGGAAATATCAGTTCTGAGGGTTTAATAATGATTGCCAAAGCTGCCCTCAGGACCTGGGATCTCATCTGCTCCATGAATTTGTGTTTTTTCACCTTCTTGTTTGATGATCTCTGTGCTATGCTGATGTCAATGGGTTCAATGTTTCCTTTCCTCACCACGGGTTCTTGTCCAGAAAATGTCACCTGGTGTAAGGGCTGCAGTCGTTCCAGGCACCTGGACAAAGCAATGATCTGTTATTCTGGGAAGGGATATTGAGAACAAGCACCTGCTCAAAAGGTTGTCTCATTTAAGGTGTGAAATCTCATCTTGTTCCCATTTATCTCCAGGAAATTACAGCTCAGGCAGCTCCCACCATGGGGTTTGAGTTGCAGGCAATAAATCTGTGCAGTTCTGGGAAGGGATATTGAGAGAACAATCACCTGCTCAAGAGTTCATCCCATTTAAGGTGTGAGATCTCATCGTGTTCTGATTTATCCAACAGGCAGTCACACAGAATGGCATTCACCTTTACAAAGCTGCAAAACAAAAGCACACAGAAGGAGCAAACCAGGTCACTTTTTTTCCCTCTCATTTCAGCCTCTCCTGTAGAAGCAGGGGAGGAAAACTTCCACCTGTACTCACTTTTTGTTTGTTTCATCAACCAACTCATTACTCTTCACGTAGTTAATGATGATGTTTCTCACCTCACTGCTTGAGAGGATGCTGCCTTTTCTGAAGACAAAGAGAATTTTTAACTCCAAAGTATTTGGGTGTTGGGTTCTGGCAGTAAGAAAGAAACAGCAACTGCAGTTTTGTTGATCTCTCTCTTCATTTTTTTTGTGCTTACCTGTGTCCAGATTCCTGAAAGAGTGGGATCATTTTTGTGGAGACCCCATAGAGTGGAATGATTTCAGGAGCATGGTACACTTGTTCTCTGTCTTCACTTTTGCTGTCTTGGGCAGCAGAGGCTGAGGAAAATCCTTCAGGCACTGCAAATGCTTTAATGCTGCCACAAGAATTGTTGGGAGTGAGTAGAAGGGATGGAAACAGAGCTGGAGGCAGCAGATTGCACTCCCTTCTTTCAGAGCCTCCCAGCTCTTTTAAAAACTGGGATATTCTACGTACTCTGGGTGTTTCCAGTCCACGTCCACGATGCTCTCCACACCTTTGCTCAGCTCCTTCACTTGTAAGATCCTCTGGTGCTGCATGCATTGCAGGAATTTAGAGAACTGAAGGAAGCAACAATCAGAAATGTGGAGTCAAGCATCTTAAACTCCTGCTCTTGTGTTTTAAACTTTTTCTCTTCTTCTGTTACTTATTAAAATTAATTAAAAAAAAAACAAACACCCAAACCAACAGAAAAATCTCACCTTCTTATAGCTTGATTTCTTTATGTCCAGTTGTTTTCCAGCAGGGCTATAAATGGATTTTTTAAAAGTTCTTTAGTTATAAGTCACCCTTCATTTCTTCTTAAATCTTGCTACTTATGCTAGAAGTTTCTTAACAGCAGGAATACAAATCACACAGAGGAAGAACTAGTCCAAAGGAGCTGATAAACAGAATGTGATGAGTAAAATTAGTGCTGACGATCTCGTGGGCAGGGAAGCAGCCACTCAGGTGACTAAACCTGGTGAAACCAATCTCAGCCAAGTCAAGTTGGCTCCCAAGTGCAAATCCAGGTCTGGACAATCCTTACATCCAAGTCTTTAATATAAGAACTGTATTTGATCAAAGTACTTGAGGGCAGAAGTGAGCATAATCTTATTCAAGAACTGGATTTCATTTTTTACTCAAAACCTTCTTCCTAAATATCCCACACAATCTCCACGTTTTAAAGACCAAATCCCAGCATGCAAATCCCAATTCCATCTCCTTCCCACGTACCAGCAGGAGACCATGTGGCTGCCTAGAAATGTGCTGGTGAGCAGAGGGAGATCTGACTTCTTTACTCTGCATTTTAAGGCATGGAAAAAGCACTGATTAAACAAAGCATCCATTTGCTCTGCAGGGAGAAAAAAAGAACAGGTAGGCAGTGAGTTGTCTGTGGGTTCAGCAAACCAAAGGGGCATGGTTTGGTTTCACTGGGATCCAAAAATACCTTGTGGGGTCCTGCTGTCCTCAGCCTCCTGCTGGTCCTCTGTGCTGGCATCCTCAGCTGGTTCTGCAGCTCTGTTCTCATGCAGCTCCTCCTTCCCCAGCAGTTCTGCACAAGTGTCTCTGTCCCTCAGGCTCAAATCCCTGATGTCCACGTGCTGCTCTGGCTCAGGGCAGCAGCTGCTGCCAGGCTCCTTCCCCTGCAGCTCCTCCTTGTCTCCAGCACTCTCCATTGCAGCAGAATCTGTTACCAAGGGAGCTAAGGTAGGAGGAGAAGATTTGTCACCATATTCCCTACAAAAGGAAGAAAAAGCAGAACACAGCTTTCCTTTTGCTGCTTTCAACCACAGGACAGTGAACAGATGTCACTTTGAATAAAGGAACTGGCACCTGCACGGGTCTTTTTCTGTAATCTCTGAACTATAAAATTTACTTTGAACTCATTTTCCTCCATAAATTCTAAATAAAGGTCCTACCTAAGCTGTACCCAAACAATTCACTAAGTTGGCCTGGCAGATTAATCTTAGTGGGGCACAGATTTGGATTTCAGTAAACACATGAGACCTGTTGCACATTTTCCCCAAGATTACCCACCAGAGGTGATCCAGGTGGGTGTGCAGCACAGCAAAGCCCTTCCCTTTCATTCCAGCAGCCAGCATCTCCTCTGTGGACATGGTGGCAACTCCAACTGCCACGGGAGCTCTGGGAAAAGAAGGGAATGTTGGAGCAGGACAACACAAACATGCTGTGCTACTGCACACAGGCTGTGCTGATGTGTCAGACTGAATTTATTTTACAACCTCCCTGTTCTTTACAATGTGGGGTTTTTTTCAAGCATCTACGTATTTTTTTGTTATCCTTCTGGTATGTAAGGTTTTCCAAAGAATCCCGAGGATAAGTGCAGCCTGGATGAAGTGAAGGTTGTACAGTGACACATTCTTGCTTTTAATAAATTACAAGAAGCACATGCACTGCCAGAAGAGACCAGCAGTGAGAGAAAACCAATGGCTTTAACACTCCCTCACTTCAAATTTCCACACAGACACAAAGACAATTGTGCAGAATACAACATTTTGTTAAAAACATTGGCCCAAAAGAACCAATTTACAAAGCTTCCCACTTCAGTTCAAACATATCCTAAGCCAAAAAATTAAGGTTTTTTTCCTGCTGTATCTTCTACTGCTGAGGTTCCCTGTGCATCAAATGCACGACAGCACTCCTGCTTTGATTTCCCCAAAACCCTTCACCTCATGTTTAGTTTCTGGACAGGTGTGGATTGGAGAATCCTCTGTACCTGTTTCCCAGCAGGGTGACAGCACAGAGCGTGCCCCGTTGCACTTGAGGGAGGCCAGAAGGTGGCACCACAACTCCTGGCAGCATCAGGTCTGCGGGAAGAATGAACCCATTTCTCAATGAAACGCTCGGGCACCGCCTCCTCCGCCCCCTCCCTCCCGTTACTCAGCAAAAACACGAGCTGAGCACACGCCAGGGAGAACAGGATTCTCTGCTCCTCCTTCTAAAGCACGGCTTCTTCCCCGTGGAGTGCGGGATCCAATCCATAAGGATCTGGATATAAGGCTGCTGGGCACATCCCAAAAAACTGCAGAGGAATGAAGCTTGCTCAGCCCTGCCA